CGACGACCTCGAGGACGGCCAGCCCAGACCTCTGGCGCGTTGCGTCGTGCCAGCCCGGAGGATCTTCGCGAGTCTCGGCCTTCCTCCTCCTCCTCCTCCCGCCTCCTCCTTCTCCTCCTCCTCCTCCTCCTCCTCCTCCTCCTATTCTCCTCCTCCTCCTCCTCCTCCTCCTCCTCCTCGGGGCCCTCGCGGGAGCCCGGGGCCGTCCAGAGACGGCTCAGGATGGCAGGCTGGCCCGCGGAAAGTGGTCGGGACCTCGGAGGGCCGCGCACTGAAATCAGAAGCAGTGCGCCACCGTGCCGGTGGGCACGGGGTGGGCGTGTCCTCAAGTCCTTTGCCAAAGTAATCACGGCGGCGAGCAAGGGGGGGGGAGTGAGAAGGAGAAGGCCTTCTCAGAAGGCGGCGGGGTTTCTCAGAAGCTCTCGGGCCTTCTGAGAAGTCTTTGAGTCTTCGGGGAAGGCTCAGAAAACTTCTCAGAAGGCCAGGGGACTTCCGAGCCTTCTGAGAAGGCCCGCCCCTTCTCACTTCCCCCTCAGGCTCGCCGCCGCTAATCCCCCAAACACTCCTGAGGAGTATTCCATGGGCCTGGACCGCATCTTGGAGGCCTCGTGGGCGATCTTGGGGCGATCTTGGCGGCTTCTTCGGCCGTCTTCAGCCGTCGGGATGCCGAAAAGAAGCAAATACCAAAATCTTTCAAACATCTAAGAAACAAATCAATGATTTTGGCCTCTTCGGGCCCTCCTGGAGGACCTCTTGGAAGCCTCTTGGGCCGTCTTGGAGGCCTCTTGGGCGCCTCTTGGGCCGTCGTGAGCCATCTTGAGGCCATCTTAGGCCGCCTTGGGTGCATCTTGGGCCGTCTTGGAAGCATCTTGGGGCCATCTTAGCCGTCTTGGAGGCCATCTTGTCCATCTTAGAGGCCATCTTGAGCCATCTGGAGCGAAGCAGCCGACGGGATGGGCACCCTGGCGGGACGTGCCGAAACCCCAAAGGGAGTTCTTTTGGAAAACAACCAAGACCAAAACCGTAAAATTCGGCACGCCAGGCACCCCTGCGATGAATCGACAAGGGGCGGCGGACTCCCCCTGGGGCTTCGGCAAGATTTCCACGGAGGATTGACACGGAGCAAGATTTCCCCAACTTTTCCTCCAACACGGCTGAAGATGGCCTCCAAGATGGCCACGTTGGCCCAAGATGGCTTCCAAGATGGTCCATGATAGCCTCCATGTCCGCCCAAGAGAGGAGGAGATGCCTCCAAGTCCGCCCAAGAAACCTCCAAGACGGCCCAAGACGGCCCAAAAGGTGCCCAAGAGGCCTCCAAGACGGCCCAAGAGGCCTCCAAGAGATCCTCCAGGAGGGCCCGAAGAGATAAAAATCATTGATTCCCTTATGTTGTTTCAAAGGTTTTTCGTATGTGCTCCTTTTCGGCTTTCCGACGACCCAAGACGGCCCAAGAGGCCCCCAAGATCGCCCCCACAGCGACCAAGAGGCTTCCAAGATGGCCTCAGGACTGCCCAAGAGGCCCCCAAAACGGCCCCAAGAGGGCACAAAGAGGAGCCGTTGTCGTCGTAGTTGGCCCTGCACCAACTCGAGCGCAGCGCGAGGAAGTCTTCAGCGAGAGTGCTGCTCAGAAGGCGTCGAAACCTCATCCGACAATCGCCGCGACGCCCGAGATCCAAACAAGCAGCGTCGCGGCCGAGCCCGTCTGGCCGGGGCATGATCCCCGTCGAAGCAGGGCGTGCGCGAGGGGCCCAGTGCAGGCGCGGGGGGGGGGGCACGGCCCTGGGACTGCCCGAGTGCGCCACTCGGCCGATCTGCGAGGTTCCAGACGTCCAGTGCCCTGATTTGCCCGACATGGGGTCCCTGGAGATCCTGACTTCTTTGCCAAAGCTGGTTTTTCATCCTGGGCCCTTTTTCGCCAAGGGCTTGGTGAGGGCCCCCTGACAACTTCCGCCGTGCTGTGCTCGGCTGCAACGCGAGATCTGCAGATCCGTCGATGCGTTCCGTCCTCCTCCTACTCTTCCTTCCCCTCCCCCTCCCCCTCCTCCTCCTCCTCCTCCTCCTCCTCCTCCTCCTCCTCCTCCTCCTTCTCCTGCTCGTGTTGATTGTTGGTTGGCGGGGGGGCGGGGGGAGGCGGCCCTGCAGATCCGTCGATCTGCTTCCCCTCCTCCTTTCCTCCCTACCTCCTCCTCCTCCTCCTCCTCCTCCTCCTCCTCCTCCTCCTCCTCCTCTCCTCCTGCTCCTCCTCCTCCGCCCCTCCTCCTCCTCCTCCTCCTCCTCCTCCTCCTCCTCCTCCTACCTCCTCCTCCTCCTCCTCCTCCTCCTCCTCCTCCCTACCTCCTCCTTCCGTCCTCCCTCCTCTCCTCCTCTCTCCTCCTCCTCCTCCTCCTCCTCCTCCTTCCTCCTCCTTCCTCCTCCCTCCTCCTGCTCCTCCACCTCCTCCTCCTCCTCCTCCTCCTCCTCCTCCGCCTCCTCCTCCTCCTCCTCCCTCCCCCCTCCCTCCTGCTCTCCCCCTGGCTGAGGAGGGGGCCCGCTGCCACGCCCGCCCGCCGTCCAGGGGGCCCCACCCCCCGACCGCTCTGCTGCGCGGGGCAACGGTACGGGCAGAAACTTTTGCTCAGCGTGTCGCCTGGCAGGCTGATAGCGTACCGCTCCCTCCGTCATCCTCCTCCCTCCCCCC